AGTAAGAAAGTATATATATATTTTTTATTTTTTTATAAATAGTTATATCTGATAATTTTCTTTTTCAGATTGAATTTTTTAAAGGAATATTACCTCAGACTTTATTAAATCCTGATAGCATAAAAGCAAAAAAAGTTTTGCAATATTTAAAAAATATTTGTCCAAACAGTTTCCCAACAAAATTTCAAGCTTGTATCACAAGCAGTTATCCAGTAATTGACTGTTGTATTCAATCATATCATGGGGAATCTGATATACATTATCAAATATTTGGAACTACAGTATTTGCAGATGATGATGATGATGAATGAATTTAGTTTTAAATATGCAATTTCTTAATTAATTGATATTATTAAAATAATATTAACCATATTCATTAATATAATATGTCAATGATTTGAGATTTATTGATGGACGTTTTGAATGTATATATGTATATATTTAAAAAGAATATAAATTATTTTTAAATTTATACTATAGTAACATTGTTATATATAGTGACTGTTAATAAACAAGTGTTTTTATAATTTTAATATATAAAAATAGTAATTTTAGATTACAGTACATCTCATATTGTCACATCATCTAATAGCAATACTCATTGTTATGATTATTAAAAATCCAATTGTCATTTCATGTAAAAATAATGTAAATTTAATTGCTTAATATTTTGTTTAATATCAGGTTTCATTTTATAACATGAAAATGTTTTGTCATTATGTTTCCATTATCTGTCAGTTTTTTTTTTTTTTTTAAACTCTTTCCACTCTGTGGGCACTAAGAGGGCCTCTTTTAGCAAGCCCATTATGGGTTCGGCCAGGCCCACAATAGGGCAGCAGGGTGGTGAGAGACAGGGCCCCACATATCTGGACGGACCATCCCCCAAAAAATTCCTGGGGATGTTTCAATTCATCTCAATTTGATCCCAGGTCCCCCACAGTAGTAAGCTGTCACCTTGGCTGCTCAGCCATCCAACCATCATCATCTATCAGTTATGTTTGATATGGTGAACATTTTCACATTTGCTTTATTAAATTTAAAAAATTACTTTGCAGAGGATTATAAAGTCATGTGATCAGATATGTATATGGAAGCAGATCATAATTCAATTTTTGAGGTTATGATTAGGCATAATATAGATCAAATACAGACCAGAGTTATGTATGTGTGTATGGTGAAGATTTTTTTTCTGTTTTCTCTTTGTAAATTCACTTTTAATTAAATGCAAGTGTGAAATTCAATCACCTAAATGTATGTTCCATGTCATCAAATGTTTCCAGATTTGGAAAAATCTGATGACAGGAAACCAAAAACACATGAGTTAAGCATGAAAAGGTTTGAAATCATTGTCATTTTTGATAGATCTTCTAAACAAGCATTTTCTGCTATTACAAAAATATTTTTTGTTGATCCATCAACTGTAATTAAAATGTACAAATCCAAAGAACTACAATAAATAACCATTTAAAGCAGTGCTAATCAAGAGACATCATAGTAAGGTGGTGATGGTGTTGATACTGCATTGCATCAATGGGTTTTTGGGACCATGATCATTAATATTATAAGTAATGGTGAATTTTTTATATGCAAAAACAGAAAAGCTGCTCAGAACCTTGGAATTAATAGTTTTGTGGCCAATAATAATTGGTTAGGTTGATGGTAAAAGTAATATGGGATTATTTTTAATGACTACAAAGTTAACCTTAATTTAGATAAATTCATGGATATCAAAAATGATGAATGTGCCAAGTGATTAAATCAAAATGAGAATTTTTTATTATAGTCACAAATAAATCTGATACTGTTACCCAGACACTTAGTGATGATAGCGACAATGAAGAAAACAATGTTATTACAAGTGCTATAGCACTAGAAAGTTTGACTATTTTGCAAAGAATTTTGTCCAATAAAGGGAGTAAGATTGGCAACATTTTATCCAGTTGGAGTGGAAAAATGCAGTGTAACATTTTAAAAAATGCAACTAAAGCATGCCAAATACTCAACAGTTGTGTCATTAAAATGTAAGTATAGATTTGCAATTACAGTACAGTATATAATTATTAAAAATGTTCGTTTATATAACCAGTTGTGACATTAAGAAATCAAATTGAAGTGGGGAGAAAAACAAGCCAACAAGTTTTATTGCACAGATGGTGCCAACACGATCATGACTCATGGTATCGACCCTCCCCAAAAAAGACAAAGATCAATTTCAACCATAAATGACGCTTAGCATGCTGGCAGACTGGCGAGTTACTTGGGATAAATCTCATGCAAGTGACTTTCATACGATTTTACACTAATACTAGTAATTCATGATTATCTGTCAGAAGCATTGCGCCAGTTCTGTCTTCCCCCAGTTCTCACAAAACTATTTACACACTCAGCAACTTGAGACCATGTTGTTTGTCGAATGTTGAGACCTTTCTCACTATACAGTATTACCTGATATGGTGACAGTAAAACGTGTTCGTATTGCAGCAGCATAGTTAGTTTCAAGACAATCTGATTCCGTTTAGACCCCTAAAAAGTACATTTATAAAAGCATTTTAATTAGAATTTAACAAGGTTACAAGCCTAGCGTGCATTAAAAAAACTAAAAAATATCCATTCGCAATACAGAGTGGCAAAATACGCCTAATAATTTTATTGGCTTAAAGCAGGGGTCACCAAACTTTTACATCGGGCCGCATAACCATTTTGTTCAATACAATACACTGAATACACAAAAAATAAAGGCAACCAACATATTTATTTACCAATACAAACACGATCACTGCAGCAAGTTCATAATCGCTTTCTTTAGAAACTTCATTGCAACTACTTACACAAAAAGCGCTCTGATATCCAAAGTCGTAAAAAGTCGCCGCATTATTTCACTGACTTTCCTGAAAATTATATTATTGTCAGATGCAAAAATCAGATTGGACCAATTTTGGTAATTTTACTTACACTTATTTTAACTTTTTCTACATAGTAAGTTTGTTTATCTACAATCTATGACATTTCTATATAAATAATTACCTTTTAGCGCATTTGCGGTACAGTGCAGCGGCGGGTCGGATGAACCGTAGTTTGGTGACCCCTGGCTTAAAGAAAAGTTTTTGAGTATTTTTAACAGCTATCGTTATTTAACACAGAAAGTTCTGTTCAAGAAATTTTGAATTAAAGGATATACCACTTATGGGCACTCAAAAGCTGGCAACAGAAAAATTGCAGGAAGAAATTGTTTGAAATCGACGAATTACAGCTCACTAGTGGCCGAGTGGATAAGACCACTGAACACTGGTATCGGTCGTGGGTTCGCGGACGTGCACGTGGAGTTTTCCGGGTTTTCTTCACGTCAGTAACGCGTAAATAGACTCCCGGGAGGCATTTTTTCCTCGGCAGATCGCGTTGCCTTAATCGAATAAAACCAATCGACGAATAACAAACATCTCGTGAACTTGCATCAAATCTTAATGTGTCACTGACACGTATTTTTGAAACATTGGATCGAGTATAATTTTGTCTGCTTTGCATAGGCAACTCTAGGATTTTATTTTATTTTTATTATTGGATTATTTTCGTTAAATTAGTTACTCATTTCAACCATAAAATTTTGTGTGTATGACAAAAAGTTAAAATAAAAATAGTTATTAACCGGAAATTTGTTCTAGCAGGTCGAGTACCGAGCAATTTTTTTTCTCTGAATGTGTTCGAGCTCGAAACGGTTTCGAGTACCGTTTCGAGCTATCAGGTTGTAAATGTGAAATTTAGATATTTCGATTTTTCCTAGAAACGACTGGGAAAAATGTCCCAGAACGTTCGATGTAGGTGTATAAATAGAATAACCAGGGGGCATTTAATTGGAAATAGAAGTATCAGTAATGTCTGACAATATGAATATATTCGCGTGCTGTTACTTTATCACTTCAAAAATGGCCATAACGCAACGAAGGCTTGAGATCTCCTCTACAAGACATTTGGCGAGGACACAGTCAACAGGCAGACTTGCTACAATTGGTTTAAGAAATTCAAGGATGGAGATTTCTCGCTTCAAGATAAACCCCATCCAAGCAGTGATTTCGCCGTTGATTATGACGTTCTCCTGCAATTGTAGACAAAATCCACGGTTGACCACCAAAGAATTAGCACAACGAATTAAGCGTTCCCATACACTCGAAAACTTGACAGTCCGATACCACCAAACAACGCTCCAGCACGTAGAGCAAAGATGACTTTAGAGAAGCTGGACTGAGAGGTTCTGCCTCATCCACCTAATATCTCATGATTCGTGCCAAATGACAGCCATCTATTTTGAGCTCTGCAGGACCAAATTGACAATATATGGTTCAATGTCAACACCCGACGCTCCAGACTTCAAAGAAAACCCCGTCATTCTATGCTCACAAGATTGAAAGTTTGAGCAAAAGTGGCGAGATTTGATTGATAATGATGGTGATTACCTACAGGACTGAATTGTAATCGTTGAATTAATTGCCAATAAAGTTTTTTTTTTTTTTCAAAATGTCTAAATTTCATTTTTATAACACGATACAAATTTAATCTGTTCCATAACCACTTTTTCGTCACTTCCTGCATAAACCGGATCCTCAAGTTGTGTAATTTTTTATTTCTATAATTTCTAGAATGCACATCTTACAACAGTAGGTTTTCTTCACACGGATATATAATTTTTGTTTCTGCATAGCTCTCTTCTTGCCTTCTGACATGTTGAATTTGCATAGAAACCAACTGAAAATATGTCGAGAAATCGTTCGATGAGTTATGTCTGTTTAAACAAGCAAGGACTTCCGGAAGTTCCGACAAATCTATTTACAATGTTGTTTACACTAGTGATAGTAATGTCGGCGCATTTTCTCTCGTCTAAATGCACTCTTAGAATAAAATGAGAGGGGAAATACAAAGAAGTTCACAGTCTCCCTTTCTTAGAGCCTAACAAGAAGACACTTCCTCCTTTCCAGTTTTGTGGTTGGCTGTCTATTTTTGCCATAAGATAGGGTACATCACAGTAGATTCGAGTGGCATTGAATCACATAATGACTGCCATTATTTAAATCAATCAGTTGTGGGTTGAAGAACAATACAACCTGCAATAAGTTTCCTTTCTTTATTTTTAAATTTTATTTTCCGAACCGGCGAGAATTTCCCTAACTAAACAATGTCCCAAAACAAAATAATAGTAATCAGGTAGAGAAGGAAAGAATCTGAACAAAAATATCTTATTCTATAAATTACTTTCATTTAAATTACATCCATTGCACTCTTTTATTGGTTGTATTTGATTGCAATTATCAGTAGAACACCGAGAAAGTTAGTTATAATAGTTAAAAATCTAATACTTTAATGATACCAATGTTTTAAATTGCTGTTAATGAAATATTGAATGAAAAACTGTTCAACTAATAATAATAAGTGAAGACAGGGAAAAAACTTATAAGTTTGAACTCCTTGAAGTCCTCTCTGCACCCCATTCCCCCTCTTCCTCCACTT